CATTGTCATTGTCATTGTCATTGTCATTGTCATTGTCATTGTCATTGTCATTGCATATATTCCCATAGGCTTAAGGTAGCCGACTTTGGTCTGGCGCGCACTCTGTGCACGAGGCGGCGAAGCAACGCGGATTTGGATTGTAAGGAGGAGCTGGATAACGAGGCGATGCTGACAGATTATGTGGCGACCCGTTGGTATCGAGCACCCGAAATTCTGGTGGCCAGTCGCAAGTAAGCGCCACGTAGAATAGTCGCAATTCTTTTAAATCTTACTTTGATTATTCTTGGCATTAGGTATACGAAGGGCATTGATATGTGGAGTCTGGGCTGCATACTGGGCGAGATGATACGCCAGAAGCCGCTCTTCCAGGGCACCAGCACCATCAATCAGATTGAGAAGATAGTGAGTGCGCTGCCGGAGGTGACGGATCGCGATATCGAATCCATCGGAGCCAGCTTCGGGTCGGTGCTGCTCAGCAAGAAGATCGTGCGGGACCGCCGTTACTCTCTGGACGAGATACTGCGCAATTGCTGTGACGATGCATTGTCCTTGGTAAAGTCACTGCTGGTGCTCGATCCGGAAGGGCGGCTGACCGCCAAGGAGGCCATCGCCCACTCGTATGTGCATCGCTTTCGCACCTCCTCGGCGAACATGGAGCTGCGTGCCGACATCCGGCCGCCGTTGGACGACGATACGCGCTACGGCGTCGATGAGTACCGTTCGACGCTCTACGAAATGATCGCGCCCGAACTGCGATCCAGTGAAAGCCACTCGAGCACTACACCAGTAATCTCAACGGCTAGCTCCGATCAGCCGTCGAGCCAGACGCCGAGCGATGCGCGATCTGAATCGAAATCCAGGTGAGTTCATCCCCCTCCCCCCCCATCTTGTTTCCTTGTGGTGTGGCTTGGGTGGTGCGAAGCATGGGCGGTGCGAGTGCTTGGAGTATGCTGATCTAGCTGCTCGCTCGATTGCTTCATTTTGCAGGTGTCGTCGCTTATAGCATAGACGTTCGTCGTCATCCACAGCGACGACGGCGTTCAGCACGGCAGCAACAACTAAGACAAAGCCAACAACAACAACAACGACTACAACAAACTGTAGGCAACAGCGTGCAGCTCTAGCTAAAAGTGGACTAGAGACATCCTCTGCCATATCCGCATCCACATCTGCGAGCACTTCCATTTCAGCTCCAGCATCGCATTCAACGAGCTTACAACAACAGCGACAACAACAACAACAACAACGACAACAACAGCGACATTATTCGCGCTCAGCTCAGCGTCAAGCGACCTATCCTTAGATCCATTCCCCATTAAGACTAGGCCTTTACTCTATCTGTTTTAATACTCGTTTACGATGGGGAAGGGGGTTAGATTGGTTCTATTTACGAGTCTATCCTTGCCTGTTAAGAGACCTGAACTTGATGGAAATGAGAATGTCGGGTATGCAAGTTTACAGAAAGAGGCGTGGCAGATTCTTTACAGTATTTAAATATATTCCTGATTAAACGACGACCTGAGTTGAAACAGCTACTATATCTGTCTGTCCGTGCATTCGTCTGTACGTCCGGCTGTCAATTTCTCGCCCTCTACACAGGGTTCAGGGTATCCCCTCGCCAAGCAGCCTCAACTAGAGTACTCTTATATCTAATATACTTTGTTTTCAAATCGTGAACGAGTATTATGCACAGTAGACTTTTTTTTTCGTATATTTAAGAGAATCTATTGTTGAACTAAATAAAATAAATATAGTGCTCGTGCTTCGCTATAAAACTGGAACCACTTGGCTAGACTCATCCTTGAGATGGAAGTAGATGTAATCAGGCCTAAGAATATAAATTTAGATTAGATTGAGATTAGATGATTGAGATTATCTATAGATGCGAATGCTATCAAGGTTGTCATATTGCTATATATAGACTAGGTAGGTGTTAGATAGGGTCAGGCAAACGGAATACTTTGAGTATTATATAGATAGTTTTAGGTATATTTGACGAGGCTTATAGAAATCTACTACTGGAGCCCAACTGCACCTGAAGCACACACCAAAGCCTACGTCTTACGTCTGTTACACTTTCCAAATCCACTTCACCTCTTCACTCTTCCCCCACTCGCTTCAGACCATCCGCAAGCAGTTCTCAGTCCACTGTGCAAACGGATCCGTCCGGACCGCCGATTTCCCCATTGACCAAGGCCTGGGTTGAGGAGCAACAGAAGCAGCAACACTTCCACACACAAACACAATTACAATCACACCAACACCAACACTCGCACCCGCACCATCATCAGCACCCGCACTCGCATCTGCTTCAGCAGCAGCAGCAGCAGCAGCAACATTTGACACACCAACAGCTGCAGAAATGGCAACGGCAACGGCAACGGCAGCTGCAACAGGAGCGGATACAGCAACACCAGCTTAGGGTACAGCAACAGCTACAGGAGCAGGAGCGACGGGATAAGCTGTACGAAGAGCAAATGATAAAAGTACGACACTTGCAGGAGCAGCAGCAGCGGATAGAGCACCGGTTGGCGCAGCAGGAGCTGCGGCGGATAGAACAGCTTCTAGAAAGGGAGCATCAGGAGAAATTGAAACAGAATCAGCAGCCACAGCAGGAGCAGCAGCAGCAGCAGCAGCAGCAGCAACAGCAAGAGCAGCAGCAGCAACAGCAGGAGCAGCAGCAGCAACAACAGCAACAGCAGCAGGAGCAGCAACAGCAAAAACAACAACAAAAGCAGCAAGAGCAGCAGCAGCATGGGAGCAAACGCTGTTCGAGTGAATCCAGGTATATACGTCGTCCAGGGGAATCAGCACACGTGGCATTGCGTCGAGAATTGGCAGCTGCAGAGACTGCGACAGCCACAGACTCAGCTTCAGCCACAGCCACAGCCACAGCCACAACCTCAGCCACATCCACAGTGGCTGCCACAGCTCCGCGCTGCATAGGTGGTGTGTGGCGGACGCCAGTGAAGAGCCATTCGGGCACAGTGGTGCCACCGCTGCATCTGTGGGAGGAGTCTCCGCCGGCGGCGTCAGAAGTCGAGGTGGTCGGCGAGGGGCTGTGCTCCACGGCTCATCTGAGGGCGAGAGTGAGGAAATTGCGCCGCGAATGCAAGGAGCGACGCATTGCCAAGGCCAAAGCCGAGGAGCAGCACCGGCGATCAATTCCACGTAATCAAGGCGCATCGCATCCGGCCGAGTCGGCTAACAAATATAAAGAGCACATAGCGCGCCCCCGCCAGGTGAGCCCATCAGGCTTGGCCAAGTCCAGAACAGCGGCTTTCAAGCAGCAGTTGAAGGAGTACGCTCAAACAAAAGCCGCGGAACGACACCATTCCAAGGCCCTGCGTTTCGATCCGGCTCACAGGCATGCGCCGGCTCCTCGACGCTCCTCGTCCAATAGTTCCGATTCATCGCGAACGATGCACGCGTGTTCGCCGATTTTGGGATTTGCTCCGTCCGATGCTGTGGCCAGCCAGAACCCCTCTGCGGAGGAGCAACAGCGCAGGGATCAGAAATCCGTGGAGCTGAGCACAGCCCTGGAGCGAATGCAGCTGGAGCATCGCGAGCTGCAGCAGAAAAAATGTAATAGCAACGATGCTGACGGCGGGAATCAGCGCACTCACCTCCCACCAAAGCATCAGATGCGTAAAATGGTCCGGGAGTCCACGGGCAATGCGGTTCGCTTTCAACGCCACCCGCGTCGGGCGAGCTACCTCAGTCCCGGCACCAGGCCCGATCGCTTCTTTACGCCAGACGGAACCATCCGGCCAGTGGACAAAGTGGTCTCGGTGGACGAGAAGACAGATCATGCGTTGCAGGCGTCGAACGCATCGGCGGCATTCATTTGCTATAAGACGCGTCTGCTCCGGCTGGAGGAGGAGATGGCCAAGTGCAAGCGCCAGCTGTTCCACTACGTCCAGGACAACCAACAGCTACTGAACAAGCAAGGATTGCGCCATCATATCGAACGCTTGCTGCACTCCCCAACGTCGGCGCAGAGCAACAAGTGCGAAAATACGCCGATACTGCCATCGTCGATCGTAAAGAGCACCGTTAAAACGCCACAGAGCGACTCCGGCGTTGAGGCGGATCACCCGAAACTCGATCGGGATAAACAGAAGCAGCTGCAGCTGCGCGAGTTTCTCGCCCGCGACGAGAGCGATGCCAATGCCTACGAGCTGCCCAATCTGTCCAATGTTTACAAGACGAGCAGCTGTCATGTCCCGCCACTGTTCGACTGCCATGGCACATCGACCTCCGGTCGTCCACCCTCCTCAATGTCCACGCACACCAAAGGCATCAGAGCATCCTCGCTGGTCCAGCACTCGCACAAGCTGGCACACGCTTACTCCAACTACTTTCCGGTAGGGAGTACCAAGGCTGGCTACGAGAATGTCTGGCACAAGAGGCACCATGCCCATGGACACAATGCCAAGCGGCATCATTCGCTGGCGCCCAAGTGCGATCGCCTGCGCATTCAGGAGGCCAATTTCGTTGATGGCTACAATGGATCGCATGCTACCCGTAAATAAGTTCCGGCTAAAATTTAAAAAACCCCCCAAAAAAAAACAACAACAAAACAAAAACCCTAAAAAAAAATCTAGCAAGGTTTGATGAAGAAGAAGACAGGAAAACAGCTAGAAGAAACGATACATAACGAAAGAAATCTTCCGTCTTAGGATGAAACGGAAAGAAAACCTTACTTAGGGTGGGGTAGATACATAAATAGGTCCTAGGTGCGGCGGAAAGAAGCAGGGCATTAGGCAACACATTTTACACACACACACACACAAGCACACACCTACATACACACTTGCACATGCACAAACATATATATATATATATATATATATATATATATATAATCATAGTGAATGTGCGTAGAGTTAGATTCGCTTGAGGTTTAAATTGGGTTATGATCAATGAACAAAATCGGGCGAGAGATAGGCATAGATGGCTATACAGCCAGGGAATCGGTTAGAGAAATCAATAGGAAATGCTGCATGAGAACTCATGACGTACAAATATATTTGGTCTAGTCAATGGCGCCATAGATCTTCAAATGCCAAGTACGATTCATGAATATTACATAGATGTGTGTATCTCGATATATATCGAAGTATTATTAATATGGCCCTAACAAATTCTACATATTCTTATCGATATACTAAGTTAATCGACAGATGATGGCTAAAGCTCGAGATTACCTATATATAATCGGCTGTACGCAGCATAGGATTATCTTTTTTCTCGGTAGCTTATTAACAATAGCCTATGATCGATAAATATCGATAGATTGTGAGTTGGTTTCGAGAGCCATAAAGAGATGATATATATATACATACAGATTCCAGTATCTGAAATCTTGATATTGACTATGCAGTTCATTTGTACATATTTCCGACTTAGCCATATCTCTTGTAATATCCTCCTTGGCAAATATCTATGATGTGATTAAATGGAAAATTAGATCAGAAGAATATCTCTAGAACCATAATATACCACTCGCTTTGCGCCATGTGAGTGTGTGTGATTATGATTTGATGTGTGATTGTATTTGGTTTGCATTCATACAAAAAATGGTGGCTCTTCTCATAGGGCTATAGAGCATTGCCCAGTCGATCATGCCCGGCCATGGGGAAGAACTTATTATTTACTTATTTATTTTTTTTAAATAATTTATTATAGTTTAAGATTTTTATGATTATTTTTATTTACGACTATCTATATCTTAGAAAGATATAAGAAAATTTTAGTTTAAGGCAAATTGAGCATTTAGTGGGGGGGAATTTTTTAGGCCATCCTCGTAAATGCGTATACTATATAAATTAGAAATATAAATGAAAATAGACGTAGCTAAAAATTCGGAATTATACTGCAATTTCTATATTTCGGGACGACATTTCGGACAAACAATATACACGGAACGCTATTTATTATAATGTTGAAATACTTCGAACAATTATATTCGAATAAATACTTAACTCAGATCCATATTGTGTAAATTACTGATTTGAAAAACCATGGATAATTATTATGGTATATTTGATTTATTTTGGGAAAAAAAAGTTTCTTCGCTGAGAGTTTTGGATTTTTAATATAATATGAATATACATATAAATATAATTAGTATCAGCAACTATAGAAGTACATTTATATGATTCGTGTGTATATATATAGTAGAGTTAATCTATATAGGCAACTGAGCCCAACTGACTATCAAAATTGAACACAATAAAGCTCTAAATAGATTTTAATCTACGCATAAGGAATCGAAAAATGTATGTGTTTTTTGTTTTTTTTTTTTTTTTTTTTTGTCTACTATTTATTAATATTTTGTTAACATTAATTCTTAGGTCTCTGTTTTTGCATATACTTCTCTTTTGAAGTTGTAGTTTGACGTTGAGCTTAAGCGGTAATACAGTGGAGATAAATGACAAAAATTCTCACTTACAAAGTCGTTAAAGAGGTTCAGAGAAGATCTCTCTGCTGGTTGCTCCAAGTCCGTGTTTAGCTCTGGATGTTGGCCCTAGTTAAGTGTTAGCTTAGTAAATGTATACTGGAATATTAGCGGGCATAGATTGTGTTCGTAGTATCAAAGATTAATGGATAAAAGTTATCCACTTTAGTAATGGGTGTTAGCTATCTATCAGCTTCCAAAAATTTGACGCTGGTGCTGCGAGTTGGAAGACCCCAAACGATTGTATTGCATGTTGAGACGAAGGATTGCGTTAAGGTTGCGATCCGACGTTTAGGTTTTGCGTTTCTGTTCGAATTGCTGCTGCGGCAGCTCCTCCTGCAGCTGCAGTATATGCTCCAGGGGCTGCGGCTTGCCATCCTTGTCGATTAGTGCCGGCTGCACAATGCCATCCTTGCGTAGCTGTTCCAGCAAATTGACCAATTGCAGTGCCTCGTACTCCTTCTGCTCCTCGGACATGCCCTCGAGCGGATTGCGCTTGGGCTGCTCGACACAGCCCAGCACGGGATTGAAGGACTGCTGCTGCTGTTTATACTCCTCCGTGTCGCTGTCCTCGCTGTCCGAGGAGTAGTCGGTGCCCTCGATGCGCCGACAGTCGAGCACGCCGCGCTTTGCAAACAGCCCGGCCGCATTGCCATAGCCCGTATATTTGATCATGCGACCGACGTCCTCCTTGCAGAGGACAAACAGCAGCTCGGCGGACAGGTCGCGCAGGATCATGGCCGGCAGTGTGAGAAAACGGCAGAGATGATTGCGCAGCTCGTTGCCAACCTCTGGCCGCTTGCTCACATCCTTTAGCGGCGGCAGGATCTCCTTTCGCAAATAGTGGCGCATGGTGCGATTGCTGCGAGCACACTTCAC